GCGTATCAATTGGTAGACCCACACGAACTGTGTGCGGTGATCTAAGAACAAGACATAATAGTGAAGGCCGCTAATGCTCGGTATTGGTAAAGTCCAGATGTCTGAATGAACAATATCAAAAAGTTCTTTGGCAGAATTGAAAGAAGAATAAAATGGCTGTTTTATTTGTTTTGCGAGAATGCAAGACTGGCAGAACGCCGGCAAATTATCTTTATTACAAATATCAGAATTTGAAATTAAAACAGAATTGAGACTGGTGTTGTTGACATGGCCAAGTCTCTTATGCCAAAGAGTGGGAGTTAGAGCAAGAAGAGCAGTTGAACTTGTAGGAGCTTTTATTGAGAGAGGCTGGAAGCGGGTAAAGATCCCCAGAGCTATAACATCAAAGTAGTGTCTTTTTGGTTTGAAGGTCCTTCACAGAGAAACCAAAAGGGTCAAATTCAACATTACACTAGTTAGCTTTCATGAACTTACAAACATATATAAGCTTTTTGATATTTCGAGGAGCAACAAGCACATGATTTAATGATAAAGGAAAAGTTTTAGTGAGCACAGATGTTGAGCCAATAGATCAGACTGGAATTTTAGAGCCATTCTGTAGAACGAAATATTGACTGATATTATGATTAAGATAAGGTTTGAATGTACCGGCATCAGAGGAAATATGTGCCGTTGTGCTAGACTCCATGTACTAATCACCGTCTTAGATATCAGGTAACGTGTCCGTAGTGTACGTTTGTGTGAAATTCATCGGGTTAAACTCCACTAGTTGAGCTTGTTGGTTCGTCTGCAGCATCGGAGAGTTAGCTTGTGGTGATGGTCCTCTGTACTGGAGAACCTGAGAAAAAGGATTCCAGTTAGTAAATTGAGCCCATGGAGAGTAAGATGGATTCCAAGGTGTACTTTGTGGCCAGAATTGACTGTGTTGGCGGTTGTTGTAGTGGCCTCTATTTCCACGTCTATGATTGTTACGTCCGCGACCTCTGTAGTTGTTGTGCTATCACTGATTTTGTTGGCGAGTTTGTTGAGGTGGAACATTGTTGACAGTGGGTGCAGTTGATGATGAGGCAGTGTCTGTGTTTAGAGCTGGTCCTTCTTGGTCTGGTGAGTTTTATTTCTTCCATCTCTAGCATTGATTTAGCATTATCAAAGAACGGGAAAGGGTCCTTATGCTTGATGACATTAATGATGTTATCATATTTATCGTGAGACCATTAAGAAGGTACATGACTAGATTTCGTTCGTTGACATGAGCGTCAACATTGGAGATAAGATCGGCTAGAGACTTTATCTTCTGACCGTATTGCTGGATCGGTTGGTCTCCAATATAAGTGGTATAGAGTTCATGATCAAGCTGAATAGCACGTGCCTCTTTGTTGTTGTGAAACTGATTCTTGATTCTGATCCATATATCACGAGCTGTTCCACCTGTTTTGAATGAAGAGGGGAAGAGGGGTTAAGCAAGAGTGCCATAGATCCAAAGCTGTGTCGTTGTCACCTTGAGGGAAAAGGGATCCATCGAGATGACTAAGCACATCAAACGCAAGGCAGTGTGTGAGAAATAGTTATCGCCATGCATCATAATTGTGATCATTGAGGTCAAGGATTATGGGAATATGTGATTTGATATTAGTTACACCAGACGCACGTTCACTGTTCACCGGAGGAGCAGCCGTTGAAGGCAAAGAAGAAGATGAGAATTAGAGGAGATGAGAAGAAAGAAATCAAGAGTGTAGTAGTCGCTCTGATATCATGTAATCTAATGAATTCCCTTAGGGTGAAATGCTGGAATGCTTTTAATGAGGCAAAATTCATTCTATCATGCTCTTACTTATTCTCACATTCTCTCCTCTCTATTCTGATACTTTCCATATGGGTGGTTAATGTCGAAAGTGTCCCTCCCTACTTGACCGAAATAATTCAATTAATGACCAATCAAAATCGATCAAAATTGAGAATCCTCTGAATTATTTTTATTTCCAAATTGGGAGTGATCTGTTTTTACTCTTTCATCCGCGAAATTCGTTTATTTCTTCTTTTGCGTCGTTATCATCGCTTAGGTTGAATTCGTTCGCTTGGATGCTAAATCATTGAGCTATTGATTCCGCTGACAGGGTATGTATCTTAAATCGTTCCTAACTCATCCTAAACCAATTTTTAGAATCCACCATACACGATCGATTTACAGAGATTCCAAATTACAATTCTAGTTGGATTAGAGTAATTGAGGATCGAAACGTGTGAATAGTCTGTCTATTATGGAATTGGATAATTAACAACTGTAATCATAAGAAAAAAGGAAGATAAAACGTCGGGAATCCAAGCTGATAACTATTGAAATGAAATGAAATGAAGATGACGAATAGCTAGAACTAGAAAAGTTGGGAAAAGTTTGGAAAATTTTGGAAAGTTGGGAAAAGTTGGAGAACGTTGGTTAGTGACAACACTGTGTAACAAGGTATAACTTCGTATAACTAACATGCTATAACTGTATAACCAGGAATAAATCAGCTATAACTTAGTGATTAATTATTTTTTTAATTGCAGATGAGTCTTTCTTCTACAAACATACACTTTGATTATGATGGACATTATTCTAAGTCTGAATATAATTATGAATGGATTCCAGCCGATGGTTGTTTGTATGGTATATCTTTTAGGACAGCATCAGTGGAGGAGATCACTTATTTGTTGTTGAAGGAGAGAATATGCAGGAAGATGAGAATAAATCTGTTTACGAAGAAGCTGAAATTTGGTTACATTCCACTGGTAGTGGAACCTAAGAGACAATCATATATTTTGGATGATGCAGATGTGTTTGTTTTTCTAACATCGGGTGATAAAGAACAAAGAAGAAGTATTTTGCATGTAAAGGACACCCAAGAATTGGAAATAGCTCAAATAACTGATTAACTATCGAGAGTTGAGGATGAACGCTCACGTAGTAGGAACTATGGTGAGGGTGAGAGTGGATATGGAGAAAAAGATAATGTGGGTACTGGTTTGGAACATAAGGAACACAATGAACATCCCCACAAGAAACACAAGAGGACACATTGAAAGGTGAGATTTGTATGTTGTGTTGTGTAACTAAGTGAAACTTTACCCTTTACTTGTATAAGTACAATAGGTAGACTGAGTAATAAGATTGCAAATTTTAAACTTGTTACGAAAGTACTAAGATGGTATTTTATGAGTTATTTTGGGTTATGTTGATTATGATTTTATCAGAACAAAAAAAAAATCTCGTTGGTTATTAGTAATCATGATGTCATTATATTGTCTTCTTATATGTTTTTCGTTAATATTCACCTAGTCTCATTTGAAATCTTACTAAGTAATGAAATCGAGTTTATATATACATGGACAAATGAGAAATGAATCTAGTATACAGAACATCACTGGTATAAGCATAAAATCAGTCGTTGTAATAGAGTAAAACCAAGATAAATGAAAAAAATTATAGAGTACAACTTTGATGTTTTCTGTAAAACTGCAAATTTGGTGAAACTTCAATCACAAAAACACTAGGCTAAAAATTTCCCGTCCACCAGCTTTTCGAATTTCTAATTTCACTCTTCCCCCTTTCCCAATCCAATTATAATTAAAACCCTTACTTTTGTGTTTTTCCCATTCTCTAGATTTCACTTTTTCTCTCTTCCCTTTATCTCTCTTTCTCTCTCTCTCTCCCAACCAAAATCCCCCAATGTTGAACCCAATTACGTCCGCTTCATCTTCCATGACCGGTGGTCAGAGACGACGAATTCTGGGGTTACCTAAGAGGTGTTGGTGCGGGGAGAGCATCACCGAGCTCATCTCCAAATCCGGTCAAAATCCATATCGCCGGTATTATCGGTGTCTTGATGCTGCAAAAAGAGGGTAACGTCCGTTTAGCTTTAGTTATCGAAGGATTGTTCTCTTAAATATTTTGAACAAAATGTTGGAATGTTGTAGTTCGAGAACGACGATCACGTCTTCAAATGGGTCGACGAAGCTTTCACCGATGAGATTGAACAATTGGAGTACCAAGTTCGAATACTAGAAGAAGAAGTTCAATTGCTCAAAGCAACGACAACAATAAGCAGTGAAGGTCCCAAAATAATACCTAAGATAATGATATCAGGATGTTGTGTTGTTAGTATCATCATTGTCGTTGTAGTTGTCGATCGAATTATGATGTAGAAGTGATTCATAAAGCTTGTGACTTTGTCAAACATTCAGTTTTGTCTAAGTTTTTGATAAATTATGCGAAGTTAAACATTATGTTTGTCTTAGTTTTTCCTAAGTTTCTCCTAAGTTATGCGAACTTAAACTACTACGAAGTATGGTCAATTGAAAAAGTTTCTCAAATGTTTACGATGTTGGACAGTTGAAACTAACACAAAATTTGACCTGGTTATACAAACACCAACTTTCAAGCTAAGTTGAACTACTACAAAGTTTGGTAAACTGAAAAATCTGAAAATTATGGGGTAATAAATCTGAAAATTATGGGGTGAAGGGGAAGGCACCGTCAATCAAATCACTTTTAAATGGAAGAGTTACAACTTGTAGTTAGGGTAATAAATCATTATTATACAAATTAAATTACTCTTCATTTATTATCCCTTATATTTCTTACAGAAAAATAAAATTATTTCTTAAGGTTTACATAGTTTCATATATTTATTTCTTAAGGTTTACATAGTTTCATATATTTAGACAATCTAACTAAGCGGTTTCACTTAGTTTAAAAAGTTATTTATTTTTATCATTTAAAGTTTTAAATCCAACGCATGCGACTGTTGCAGTCAGAAGTCGTGCATTCTCGAGACCTCCATCAAATCACCCTTAACTGCCGTGATAAATACAATCTTATCTCTTCTCCACTGTTGAGGATCATCGCTATTATAAAAGGGTTTATCATTTTTTCCAAATAAATAAAACGTTAATCTTTCCATTTATTTGATAAAACAAATTTCTCACCATGTCGAACTGTAACTTGGATTCTCTCTCCTTCCATGCTTCACAAGATTTTCTCTAAGGCAGCAGCAAACCATCTCCAGGACTTTGGTAGTGCAAGAGTTCCATTACTGGCCTTCAATCAAATTGGTAGAGAAGAATACTTCTACAAATTTGCAGAACTTCTTCACTTCAATGACTGGATTGATGAGGTTAATGCTGTCAGAATATACATGCTTAAGTGCTACCAAGCCGGTAATCCACAGGCCATCTACATGCGAGGTATGTATGAGTACTTCGTCCTCCATTTACTTGTTCAAGGAAGGGAAAAAATTCGCCTTGCTGGTGAGAGGGGAATTTTGTTGGCCAAGTACGTTGATGATATGCCGAACTTAGCATTTAGTGTTGATAATAGATGACTGGTTCACAACTTTCCTACTTTTACACGTGAGTTTGTTGATCAGATGAATAACATGCTCGCTACTAAGGTATCCTCAGGTCATTGGGGTCACGGAAAACCACAGATCTTTATGTCTCTATTGGAAAAGATAGATCCCAATATCAATTATAATTGTTGGTGCTCTGAAATTATACAACCGGTGTTTGTTGTCTCCTTCGATGGATCAAGAATACAGTGGAAATGCAATCGTTGTTTCTGGCAATGTGCAGTTTGAGACTTCTGCAATGATATTCATTTGACCTCTACTCACTGGCCAATTGAAGATTAGAGATGAAGTATTTTCGTGTGTTTATAAGTTGTTTATTAGTTATGCTATGCACCATTATGTACTTTATTGAACTTTATGTAAAATACATTTCCCTTAACTTAATCTATAGTTTTTATTTATTTTAATTTCACTAAATATATCAGTAACATAATGCAAATGAATAACTATTGTATATCTCTTGGATTAACTGTAATCAAAGTTGAATCGATATGTTATCACTAAATATATCAATAACATATTTCAAATGTACATGATACAATGAAAATTAGTTGAAGGTTTACTAAGTTGTATAGTTACTACAAGTGTGAATTAGTTCAACTTAGACTGCAGTTACACCTACACCAGGTTATATAATTACACAAAGTTTCAATAATGTTTCTGAAGTTATGGACATTGGAGATCCGAATTTTCTGATTCGGATCTGGATGGTCCGCGAAATACCCCTAGTTGCCTTGTAATTATTCGAGTTTCTTTCGATGTTTTGGTTTTTTATTAAATTTTCCTATTTAAATAAAAATTTATTCAATTTATTTGGAGGTGAATTTCGGGCAGGAGTATTTGAGAATAAATTTGTTCGGGGAGATGTATTGGAGCATTTGATTCATTCCCTTGAGGGGATTGATCTATTGATACGACTATAAATAGTTAGTATAATTACAAGAATTTAAGAGTATCGAAGAGTAGAGATCTTTACAATCATAACATAATTGTAACAGAATATGCTATTATATATTCTATTAGAAATAAGATGCTTGATATCTGAAAATACTTTTAACACAAGTAAACCTGGTTCGGTTTCTTCACAGTCTGAATCGTAATATATATATATATATATGACATCAATATAATAAACTCAAACTGACTGTGAACCAAATCAGCTACTCTCTATCCATGTGAACGACAAAAGATGCTTTTTTCCTAGCACTAGGTGCTAGACTCTCCGTCTTTATGTTTTTCGTTCTTGAGACATATATAATCTTTGAGTTGGAGAAGCTTTCCTTTAATATCTTGATATCCTCTAGATAAGTTGTAAACGCTGGCAATTCTTCCGGTTTGGAAACCATCTTCACCATTTGAGAACAATCCGTTGCAAAGGTTACCTAAAACTGCTGCAAATTCCTCATAAACTCTATTACCCAAATTAAGGCTTCCACTTCTGAATGAAGAGGCGATAGACTAGCCCTGACGTTTCTTGCCCCCATCAGTCCACCAAAACCTTCTAGCGTATTATACCACCTTTGTCCGGAAAAAAACCTCCTTATCTTTCCATGATCCATCCGTAAAAAACCAACGCCAAGATTGATGGTAGGGTAGGAGCAGCCCCATGTTGTATTCCCATTTGTAGATGTGGCACCTGAGCCTCATCCCAAAGTGTTGATTCCGTTTCCGTTAATTTGAGCGTGTCCATGGGGTCAAAGTGTAAATTACTGAAGGTCTTGCCACTCCTTCATTCCGAAATATACTACATAATTCAGGCAAACTGATGATCGTCCATCTGTGGCTGTAATCTCCAGATAAATGATTTATATTTGTAAAGAGAGAGTCAGTGTGAAAGCTAGCTGGATTTGATGGTCTCTTTAATAATGTCCAGGTCTGTATCGCTGGAGGACATTCAAAGAAAACATGATTAACGGATACCTCTTCCGCTCCGCAGCGGGCACAATAAGTGTCTCCTTGTATCCCTCTCGATGACAATTTTTTTCTTAATCGCTATTCATCCCAATATCAGCTGCCATTAGACGTGTTTTATCTTCGGTGGACACCTCATTTTCCAATATAAATTTTTCAGTATGTCAACTGTGGTCCAAAGACTACTGATGGTGATTCTTTATCTGGATGTACCGCTTTCATCTGATATCCTGATTTAACCATATATTTCTCATTGTTGATGAAATACCATCCATCCCGTTCCTCCATATGAGTTCTATTTAGTGGTATACTTTCTATGGCCAAAGATCATTTCCTTACAGATATTCTTACATATGGCCAAAGATCATTTCTTTACATATGGAGGCTCGGATCCAAATATGCAAGTTCTATTTTATTTTACTTTCGATCATTTGTCCATGCATGCATATGGGATAAAATTAAAGAAAAACGACAATCAAATGTAAAAGTACTATATACTAGGTGTCAGTATGCTACTCGCAGATTATATGTATTTAAATTTGTTAAATATTCTTTGTATCATGTTTTGTTTATTACTTTGATTATATATGTATATGATTTAGTGTTTATAATATATTTTATAGTGACTCCATTATATTTTATTACAATCATAATTGGTAAAACTAATATAAATACTCATTGTTTTAAGTAAAACTAAATTATATCTCTTATTCAAAATATTTTGCTTAATAAGAATACCTAAACCAATTTTAAAAATGTTGCATTAGTTATATCCACTAAAAATTTTATGAAAAATCTTACAATTTATTATATCATTTGTTAAAAATATATTACAATCTAGATATAAATAAATATAATTCTGGATTACAACTCAATGGATAATCAAGATATTCTCTATTGATATGCACAATTTATTTAATTTTTATTATTTTTTTTTTTACAATTTCTCTTTTAAAATACCAATCATGGTATTGCATTGTTATAAAAATAAATACAATTTTCATACTTTCTAACTTAATATTTTACATTTTATATTTTAAACAAATATGAAGTATTAATGCATCTTTTTAATGTTTAAACTGAATTTTGAATATATCTTCAGTCCAAAATAACGACCCAAAACAGTATTTTCATTTTTTAATTTCGAGTAAAAACATTCTACAGTTTTGTATTAGTATCACAAATTAAATTATAAATTCTTTTTAATTTTATATAGCTTCCTTGATTTTTATTTATTTTAAAAATTTTATGAGGATAATTTTTTTTTTTGTTGTTGTTCAATTTCATACACTTTTGATTTTTAATTTTTTTTTTGTGAAAAGAAATTTAAAAACGTTTGTTGGCCTGTTGTTTCTTAATGCAGTACAAGATTTTGTCCCGGTCTCTCTGAAAGCACGGATTATAAACAAATTTAAATATTAATTTTTTTATTGTTTGTATATTATTATGTTACAAAGTAGTATTATACCCAAAAAGAATTTTTTAAAGCAAATAATATAATTTATGTATTAGTTTTATTTGATATTTTGTATGTAGATTTTATTTTACTCTTTGTTATGCCTAAACATATTATCCTGATCTGATAAACTGAACCGAAATCAATCTAAAAACAGAGGTTTGGATTTGGTCCGGGTCCAAGGAAAAGTACATATTGGGTTTTTTTTTCCTGGATCCGCAAGTATATGTCAAGTCCATGTCCTACCTGAGATCCTAACGGATATTCGAAGTACTCAAAAATATTTGGTGTATATATATTAGGTATATTTGGGTATTTCGAATATTATTTTGTTATTCGGATAATTTTTAGTTTTCAGGTTTGAATTTTCAGTTATAGTTTTTGGTTCAAGGCAATTTCAAATATTAAAAAAAAAATTGGGTATTCGAATAAATTTTAGGTACTTTTGATTTCTCGGATCAGAATTCAATTAAAATTTTGGATCTTTTTGGATATGTATATATTTTTGGTACTTCTAGTCTTTTCAGGTCTTGAATATTAAAACCTATCTGGACATGTTATATATTCATTACATATATTTTACAGGTATTTTAATTATGGTCCGGATCCGGAAGAAACCAACATGAAACCAAATTGAAAAAAAAAATCAAATATTTAATTAGGTTTAAATGTTTAGAATCCGAAGGACTCAGATCTGAAATGAACCGATCCGTACCCAACCAAAAGATCTAATGCTATGCTTACTCTCATTTTTTTTCTCATTACATTTAATGTGTATTTTATAAGAGTTGCTTTTATTAAATTGGTGAGTTGAAAATTTACTTGATAGATTATTAGATAATATAATAGTATCCATTTATAAGATTTAATATTTTTTAAAATTTATATTAAATAACAAAAATTTCTTAGTGAAATTATCACTATTAAATTTCGTCAGTGAAATTTTTTCAGTTAAATTATATTTAAAAATAAAGCCTAAACAAACTATATGATCAATATACATATAGACAGTGACAAATTTAATGGGATGTGATATTCAGATTATTATAATATTACTAGGGGAAGCCCGTGCTACGCACGGGATGTCATGAATTGTTTGTATAAAATATAAAAATATTGTACACATTTTTTGTATGTTCATTTGGTTGGAGATGTTATAATCCTAATCGATTATTCTTTGTATGGTCAATTCGCTCCTTATAACGTCTAGAGTTATCTGTGTGTTAGGTTAGGATTTGGAAGCAATGATTGTNTACTAGGGGAAGCCCGTGCTACGCACGGGATGTCATGAATTGTTTGTATAAAATATAAAAATATTGTACACATTTTTTGTATGTTCATTTGGTTGGAGATGTTATAATCCTAATCGATTATTCTTTGTATGGTCAATTCGCTCCTTATAACGTCTAGAGTTATCTGTGTGTTAGGTTAGGATTTGGAAGCAATGATTGTATGATGTGTGTTTTTTAAAAATGTTATGCGGGAGAAGGTCATTGGCAAAGAACAACTGGAGGAGTTGGTTTGTTGCTAGTGAGTTTGTAGAATTCTGATTGTACAACGTACTATTTAAATGTTTAATCTACTTTTAGCTAAAAATAGTACTAACGTTCATAATTTTTACAATAATTTTAAGGATTCATTTTAGTAATTTTAACTTGTCTGTTATTATAAAATTTCAAATTTTTATTTGTTTTCTTTATACATTAGACAAAAAAAACTAATGAATTCAAGAATCAAGATGTTAAAGAAATAATTTATACATTATAACTAAAATATTTTAAGCTAGATAAATGGATAATATGAAACTATCGTTACTCTTTATA